AAAAAAAAAAGCATTTTCATCACCCCCAAATTAATCTTTTCACCCTCTAGCTATCATTTTCAACTTCCTCACTGTCTTTTAGCATCTATGAATTTACCTATTTTTCACATTTCATATAAACAGAATCACATAGCATTCGGTCCTTTGTGACTGGCTCTTTCGTTGTCACGTGAATTAATGCTGTACACTTTCTAATGGCCAGATAACAGTCCATTGTATATAAAATACTTCTACTTATCCATTCATCAGATGACGGCCTTTGGGTTGTTACTATTTTTGTTATCTGGGCCCTAATTTCTCCTGGGGTTGCCTCCAAGGGAACTTGTTGGGTCACATGGCACCTGCGTGTCACCCTCAGAGGCACTGCTGGACTGTTTTGCACAGCAGTTTCACCTTTTCACAGCAGTGGAACATGAGGGCTCCAGTCTTGCAACCTCACCAATACTCAATACTGTGGCTTTCTGATCATAACTAACCTTGAGGGTGCGGCATGGTCGCTCATTGTGGCTTTGACTTGTGATTCTCTGACCGTGGTAAAGATGGTGCCTTTGTTACAACATGTGGGCTGCTGTGGTTTACTAAGAGGGAGAGTGGCCTCTGTGTGTGTGTACTTGCTTGTGTGTGAGGATAACAGTGCATGTGGAGGCCACAGGTCAACTTCCTCAGTAGCTCTCCTTATTCTTTTGAAACAGGTTTCTCACAGACCTGAAGCCCACAGATTCAGCCAGATTGGCTGGCCACTGAGCGCCTGGATCCTACAGGCTCTGCTTCCCTGGTGCTGCTGTGCTCAACTTTTACATGGGTGCTGCAGATTGGATTTGGGTCTTTATGCTCGCACAGCAAACATCCCACAGAGCCATTCCTCAAGCTCAAAGGTGGCCCATTTTATAATCCCGGATACATCTTGGCCAAGCCACTTAGCCAGCATGCCTCTGTTTCCGTGTCTGTTCATACAATTTTTGGACAACTAAAGAGGAAAAAGTACACCCTTCATCATGATTTTGATGTGAGCAATCCGTAACTGGTAGCTATTTCTAAAGAATCGTCTTTGTGAGCAGAATGGGTATTTTTATATTCACCCTCTATTTTGAGTCTCAGAGTAACCACAACCATGTTTGAGTTTGAGATATAGAAATGTGGATTCAAAAACATCTGTGTGTGTGTGTGTACATGTGCATGCATGTTTTTGAAGGTGTCCATCTGTTCTGTTTGTGCCTGTGCACATACACGTGTAGAAGTTACAGGCTGATGTTTAGACATGTTCTTTGACTGCTCTCCTTCTTACTGTTTTTGAGACAGGGTCTCTCCTTGAACCCAAGTCTCACCCTTTTGGCTAGACTGGCAGCCAATGAGCTAGCTCCAGGGATTTCCTTCTCTCTGATTGGCCAGTACTGTGATTATATGCACATGCCACCAAACATGGCCTTCATGTGAGAACTCCGGTCTTTGTGGTGATATATTTTTTATGATTTAATAACGCCACTGCAGATCAAAATGCAAAACTAGCCACAGCCATAGAGCCAGGCAATGGTGATACACACCTTTAATTCCACCAGCCACACTACTTAGCTACATACATGGCATACATAAACTCACACAGGCACATATGCACACATACACGCAAGCTAAAAATAATAAACAAGAGATATCTGGGGAATCTGGGCCTGTTTGTAGTCCTGGTTTGTTTGTATGGTCTCAGCCCCAAAACAGCTGTGGAGACTATGTTTCTGGCTGTTGCCAAGGCTAGCTTCTTCCTCAGTCCCAGCAGGAGCCCACATCGATGGCTGATTGTCCCCTGGTGCCACACTCCTACTTGATTTGCTGTGACTAGGGGGCTACTGTTTGAACCAAGCTGCCTGTAACGTCACCATCTTGAATTTTATTCCACAATCTGAGAAGCAGAGAGGTAGAATATAGTTGCTTTCTATTGTGAATTTTTACCCCCCTTTCCCGGAAACTGATCTGAGAAGTACTTCAGTGGCAAAAGAAGGTATGAGAAGGCTGATCTCATTTACAGCAGCTTCTCCTGGCCCAGCCAACCCCCTCCACCAGCAGCACTGCTGTCCTTTGAAGCCCCAGGATGTCTTTTGCTGGGGAGGGGGTGTGCCTGTGCTTATGTATGTTTTTTAAAATGGAGTCCCAGATTGACTGACTGTTCCCCAAAGGGTAGCCTCACACCTGGAAAGCTGGGCCTCTTCTGTGAAGTTTCCACAGAAGTGGAGAATATACCAGACACCAAACCCAACCCAGGCACAGTGTCTATGGCCTTGGGGACATGAAATGTGTCACATATCACCTTGGCCCTGGATGATATGATGACATTCGAGCAGCTGGAGGATTAAAAAAGGCCCTCATAGAAGGAGACCCCTATAGGAGAATTCAGCCACGTGACACAGAGGACCCAAAGGCCAGTACCTGCAAAGATCGAGAAAGCAAACAAGAGGGACAGCGAAGACCCAAGGGAGGAGGGAGGAGAAGGAGCCAGGGTGGATAAGAACTGGACTGTGATTCTCTGAAGAAGCTATCACTGGGGAGCGGAACCATCTGACTAGTGTTTCTGAAGGCTCCAGTGCCACTGTGCAGAGGGATGGGGCATGTGATAGGACAAGAGTGGGGTGCAAGCACCACTAAGAAACCAGATGAGCTACAATGCGGCGGTGGAGTTGGAGAGGTGTGGACCGAGTTGAAATGGACCTGCAATGGGAGAGATGGCTCAGGCATCCTGTAGCTGAGGATGCCTTTGTCTGACCCATGAAAGACCAAAGAGAGGCAAGCTCGCTAGACCCATTGGTCAGGACCAGTAGAGATACTGGCAACTAAAATGTTATGACTACTTCTGTTGTGCTATCTTTAGCTCCAAGATGTTAAAAACACAATCTGAAACATATAATCTCTAAGGAAAGAAAGGAAGGAAGGAAGGAAGGAAGGAAGGAAGGAAGGAAGGAAGGAAGGAAGAGAAAGAAAGAGAGAAAAAAAATGAGCACAATCTCTTTCTCTTTAGCTTTACAAAAGCTGCCCAGGCAGCCGGCTCCTCTGCTCCATCATATCACATGAGAGGTTTCTGGTGTCCCCTTCAGCCCGGCCTCCCTGGCTGTTAACACAACACTGGGCTGTGGCTTAACAGTATCTGGTTGATGTTACAGTGTCTCAGAGGGGAATCCCAGGCCACTGCAAAAACAAGCAGGGCTCAGACTCTGGACAGAATTGAGCTTTATTTTGAGGGTGCTGGGAAACATGAAGAGGAGGAAGTTCTTTGTTTCTCTATCTGCTGTGTTTTCATAATGCTTTTTCCCCCCTGGGGGAGTGTCCGGCTGTCCTCTGCCTCTTTGACAGGGACACATGGGCACTTGGAACTCACTCAAATAACCTAGTAATCTCACATCTCAAAGTCCTCAGTCATGTGTCTAGACTCTGCTCTGATAAGGTACCATTGCCAGAGAGCAGGTTCAGCAGTCCTTGGGAACATGCTACAGGATGGGTAACTGGTGGGATCCAGCTCATTTAGGGGGCAGCTGCAGCTGAGGTCCTGGTGCCTGGTTCCACTGAGAAGGACTGTGGGTTTGTTACTTCAAATTGAGCAATGGTTCACAGATACCTTTTTCCTGGAACAGTCTGCTTCTTGATCATGTAGTTTCCAGCTGAACCATATGAATTGTCTAACAACCTTTACAAATCTCTTTGGTGACTAAGTCACATAGCCAGCTGAGATCAAACTTGGACATCTCATCCAGAGTTCATGCTCAGATTGGAGCGTGGAGGGGACAGGACCAGGCCTGGAGGGATATCGTATAGTATTGGATCATCCAGCTATGAATTGGCAGTGATCTAGGCTGAGGAGGTGACAGTGACCGAGGATGGGTGGAGCTGAGCAGTATCAGGAAAATCAGGAAGATAAAATAGTAGAATTTCTTTGACTTGGTTTTCTGAAACAGGGTTTCAAGTAACTCCACATGTAGCTGCATCTGGCCTTGAATAGCTACACTCCTGTCTCTGTCACCCAAGTGGCATGCACCTTCTTGCCCAGCTCAAACGATAGGATGTATAGTTTATTTATTTATTTATTTTGAGACAGGGTTTCTATCTGTAACAGTCCTGGCTGCCCTGGAACTAGCTCTATAGACCAGGCTGGTGTCGAACTCACAGAGATCCACCTGTCTCTGTCTCCCAAGCACTGGGATTAAAGGTGTGTGCTACCACCACCTGGCAGGATTTGTAGTTGAATGGATGTATGTGGAAGAGGATAAATGAGAGAGTCACCCTGGGCTTCCCATTTGAGACACTGTAACACAAGCCTTGGGTGGTTAACTCATGACCTAGTGCTGTATTAACAGCCAGGCAGGCTATGCTGTTGGGGACAACAGAAGCCAGGGGTATGCACCAGCCTACCCAGAAGCCTCTCCTGCGGAATGATGGAGCAGAGGAGCCGGCTGCCCCGGGGAACTTTCATAAATGAACAATGTATGAGCCTTACAGAGAGAATGGACACATTTCTGAGCTGGGCCACTGATAAGAAGTTGGTGGCTACCTTCCTGGAGTTGATAAGTTCAGGAGAAAAGGCAACTGGGGTCAAAGGCTAAGTTTGGAGCTTATGGCTTTGAGTTTGAATGTATATGAGGCTCATAATTGTGCATATTGATTGTGTAGATATTTGCTTTCAGAGCTTTAAGATAGAATATATATCACCACCCTATCGATGGTGATTGGAGCCATGGACATGTTCAACTGACCAGCTAGAAAACGAAAGCAAGAAGCTTGGAACAGAGTCCTGAGTGGTGCTAGCATTCAAGGGGCAGGGAAATGGAGAAGTTCCCCAAGGGATTCTGAGATGGAGAGGCCAGAGAGATCCAAGGGGGCCAGGAGAATGTAGACTCCTTGAGGCTGAGGGAAGAAGGAGAAAGAAGTGGTCCATGTCACCAAAGTCGATCGTGGCGTCTGCAGACACTTGGAAGGGAGTGAGCTGGCAAGGGAGGCATTGGAGAAGTGGTGGGGGTGGGAGCCAGACTGGAGTGGGTGGAGGAGTGAATGGAGATGCAGAAATGGGATTCAGTGAGTCACTCTTTCAAAAGACTGGGCTCCATGGGAGGAGCCAGGCCCTGCATGGTGCTAGAAAACGTGGGGTGGAGGGGGTATTTATTTTTAAGATGAGAAATTGTATTTGAATGCAGATGGAAAAGAGATGGGGAAAGGGAGAAAGTGATGGCATAAGTGAAAAAATTACCACCATCACCATTGTCATCATCTTCGCTGGCACCAGCTAGCAACCACAGGGAAGGCTTGCCTGGCCCCCTTCTTCTGTAATCACATTACAGTTCCATTCTGTGCCCTTCTCCTTCAGAGGGCTTCTCACTATTGCCGCATCTATCCTCATGTCTGTACTGATGCCCAAGGCGCTGTCCAGACCCTTCACTGTCTCAGCTGTGCCCACACGACCATGCCTCTGACAAGCCTTTGTGAGAGGCAGTATGCACACTTTTGCCTCATGAAACATTGCAGCCTTCTGTAGATTGGCCCAAGGAATTGAGCCATAAATGCACATGCCCTTTGACCTGACGTTTCACCTCAGGTGGCATAAATGCCTTTGCTGGGAGAAGACTCTCCGATAAATGCTCCTGACTACATGGGTCCGTGCAGCAAAGGCAGGAACAAGGCCCCAGGCTAGCTGTGGGTTAAGCAAATGTGAAGGCAGGTTTGTCTCAGAGCTTGTCTTTCACTTTAGAGCTCACACCTTTGCTCAGAACTTATAAGAGACAGGCAGAGTTTGCTGAGAGACACTTCCTTCCTGGGGAACTCATAGAACCTTCTCTTCATGTTGCCAGTGGGCCAGTTATGCAGGTACAAATCTGCAAAAGTCCTTCAGATCCAAAGCATATGGGTCGGGACTCTGAAGAATGCCTTCCTAGGAGCCATCTGCATCTACATTTGGTGAGTCAGGCGGGAGCCATTCTCAGGGCTCCATGACTCCAACCTCCCTCTCCATCTCCACTCTATCCTGGCTCCTCCAATCCCTCCCGTTTGGCCACACTGCTCTGCAAGGGTCTCTGGGTGGCCTTAGCTTCTCCTGCTGCAGGTCTCTTGTGCCTGCCAGGTTCTCCAGCTCTTCCTTCCTCCCATCTCAATCTTACCCATTCCGTCGGCTCAGCTAGACACCTGGCTCCTTAATACTGTGCTTGCTCCAGGGTCTGGTGGGTTGTGTGCACCTGGATATGTTGAACATCAGTTTCTTAGAGCTAATAGTCAGTGGGATTAGAGGTTAGAGAATTGTGACTGAACCCACGGCCCAGAGAGGAAGGCTGGCTTCTCTTGAGTCATCACTTGAGGTCAAGAGTTTGTGACTGGATTGATCATTAGACTATTCTTTCTAACAGGCAAGATACTTCAAACTCTCTTTGCCTCTTTTCTCCTTTGATGTGTCTCTAGGATGTGTTAATTGAATTCTCATGTTCGCCAGGCAGTGGTGGGGGACGCCTTTAATCCCAGCACTGGGGAGGGAAACACAGGTAGGTCTCTGTGAGTTTGAGGTCAGCCCGGTCTACAGAGTGAGTTCCAGGACAGCCAAAGCCACACAGAGAAACCCTGCCTCAAAAAAAAAAATCAATAAATAAATAAAAATAAAAAGAAAGAAAGAAAAAGAAAAGAATTTTCATGTTCATTATGATATAGAGGTCTATTATGTTTGCAAAGCCTTTGTGGTTTTAACAGGGCTGGATTCTATTAAAGATGACCATGTATTGCATATTCTAGAATGGATAATGATGCCTCAGACTGAGCTTCCCAAATGGTAGAGCATGTGTTGTTCTGGTAGGATGCTGCAATGGATAACTTGAAAGAACATTGCAAGTATTTTTGTAAATGTTTTGAGGCTGAAGTGAGACTGGACATTCATAGTCGTATTTGTCTACAGTGTTCTATTAAGGTCTGTATTATTCATGCTGAGTGTGTCCTGAATGTGGATTTCTAGCACCAATACTTTTTAAAGTGTTTACATTTTTTTAAGATTTTATTTATTTAATATGTATGCAACATTCTGCTTCCATCTATATCTGCATACCAGAAGAGGGCATCAGATCTCATAACGGATGGTGTTGAGCCACCATGTGGTTGCTGGGAATTGAACTCAGGACCTCTGGAAGAGCAGTCAGTGCTCTTAACCTCTGAGCCATCTCTCCAGCCCCTAAACTGTTTACATTTTGTGTGCGTGTGCGTGCTCATGTGCCATGGTGTGCACGTGAAGGGCAGAGAACAACTTCTAGAAGTGAGATCTCTCCTTCCATCATCATGTGGGTTCTGGGGATTGAACCCAGGTCGTCAGTCTTGTTGGCAAGTGCCTTAACTCAACTCACTGAACCATCTCACTGGACTGATTCCTTTCTTCTTTAATCACTGTTGGAGAAACACTAAAATGTACTATGAATAATGTCATACCCATGTGCTACTGTGCAACTTAAGAAACAAAGCTTACTAGTCCAGCTTTCTCCCTGTAAACTCATCCTCCACCCCAGTCTCTTTCCCCTGGCAAACATACATCTGAATTTGATGTTTGTTCCCTTGTTTTGATATTTCTATAGACATATGTCTATATCTATAAAAAATGTGTGTACTTTTTGGTTTTTAAGACAGGGTGTCTCTGTGTAGCTCTGGCTGTCCTGGAACTCACTCTGTAGGCCAGGCTGGCCTCAGACTCACTGACATCCACCTGACTCTGCCTTCTGAGTGCTGGGATTAAAGGCGTGTGTGAATTTTATGTTAGCTATCAAGGTAAAATTCATATGGCATAAAACTGACCACTTAAAGAGAGGGGGAAACAAAGGACTACTTTAAAGTAAACACACAGGTAGCATTTCCCATGTGCTTGGTATTATATAATAAATGCCTTTATCTACTAATATATTTTGTCATCTTTTTTTAACTTTTTATTTATTTATTTATTTATTTATTTATTTATTTATTGGTTTTTCGAGACAGGGTTTCTTTGTGGCTTTGGAGGCTGTCCTGGTACTAGCTCTTGTAGACCAGGCTGGTCTCGAACTCACAGAGATCCACCTGCCTCTGCCTCCCGAGTGCTGAGATTAAGGCGTGCACCACCAACACCCAGCTTATTTTGTCATCTTAAAAGGAAATAATGTACTCACTGTCACTCCCCATTTCTCTCCTGCAACCATCCATCTTCTGTCCCTATAGATTTATCTGTGTATTTCTTTTTCTTTTCTTTTCTTTTCTTTTCTTTTTTCTTTTCTTTTCTTTTTTTTTTTTTTTTTTTTTTTTTTTTTTTTTTGGTTTTTTGAGAAAGAGTTTCTCTGTGGCTTTGAAGGCTGGTCTCCAACTCACAGAGATCCACCTTTCTCTGCCTCCCTAGTGCTGGGACTAAAGGATTGCTCCACCATCACCTGCTTTATTCTGTATATTTCTGATAAACAAAATGACCCACTGGGTGTGGTGGTGCATGCCTTTAATTCCCAGCATTCGAGAGTTAGAGGCAAGATGACCTCTGTGAATTCAAAGGCCATCCTGGTCTACACCAGGACTACATAGAGAGACCCTGTCTCAGAAACAAACAAACAAAAAAATCTATTGACCTGAAATAAGAGCAAGCAGAGCTGAGGTGTTACTGGACCCTGGGACAGAGCTATTCAACACATAAAGAATGGGACTGATTAGTATTAGTAGGTAATACTAAGAGGGGGTGGTAGGTACAACTACTAGTCCCGGTTTGCAGAGAGGGAGAGTCCCAAGGAAGCAGGTCACTGGGCATAAGCAGGCTTTGAACAGAAACTTCTCTGACCACACCCTTCCCCCAGAGTCTGCAGCCCAAACCACTGCCCTGGGTTGTGCAAAAACCACTGATGCTTTTTCATCTGTTCTCAGCTTTGCTTTGGTGAGTGACAAGCTGTATCAGCGGAAGGAGCCTGTTATCAGCTCCGTGCACACCAAGGTCAAAGGGATCGCAAAGGTGACAGAGAATGTCATGGAGGGTGGGGTGATGAAGTCACTGCACAGCGTCTTTGACACTGCGGACTACACCTTCCCTTTGCAGGTGAGCACCAGGCAGCTGCCTCCAGGACTTATCTCTGCTCGCTGCCTTTTCCCATCCTTAGGAGTCTAAGCCTCATTTCAAAAACAATTGTCTTGGGACTAGGGAACCTAGCTCTTCTGGCAGAATGCTTGGCTAGCATGCATGAAACCTGGATTCAATCCCTAGCACCCATAAAACCAGTGGTAGTATAAGCCTGTAGCCCCCAGGAGGTCAAGAATGGAGAAGAGGGAGTTCAAGGTCTCCCTTAGCTGCATAGTGAGTTTGAGGCCAGCCTAGAATACATAAGACCTTGTCTCAACAGAAAAAGAAAAAACATTGGTCCTATTTAAAACCTGCAAAAATCCCAATTGAGAAAACCTAAAAAATGCAAAACTGGGTCACATCTAGCAGCTCAAAGAAGATGCATCTTCGCTTTATAGAGTCCTACTGGGTTGCTGGAAATAGCATCACATCCTGGCGCATTCCAAATGTGATCTGATTCACTGGCGGTGTTGCGCATGCAAGTGGCTTTAGAAGCAAGGCCACCACATGGCAAGCCCCAGCCAGGATTCACAAGGGCGGAGAGCTTGTCTTCTGCATGGCTTGTGTGACCTTTTACCGTTGAAAAGGTCCTCAGGAGATGGTTCTTGAGTCTTTCTAAAGAAAGGATGTGGTGACAAGGATATAAAAGGTGTAGGTCACAGAGAACTGTGTGGCTAGCTGAGTCTGCAAAGCAGGAAAAAATGAAAGCAGTTAACCAAAAAAGGAGAAATAAGAGAGGGGCCAAGAAGTGAGGAACAGATGGGGGTGGAAGGAACAAAAGAGCCCATTTGCAACCCTGGGGAGCCAGAGCACTTGGCAAAACCATCAGGCCCAAGCTGCTATTTGTTTCTAACTACAAACCATAAAAGCCACTGATTGCCCAGGTAGTGGGAAGCCCCCTAGCCTTCCATTAAGCCCTGAGAAATCTGAACAGCTTGCCCAGGGTGCAGCCCACAACCCACCTCCACTTCCCCCGCTCTCCAGAGTCTCAATTTAATGGGATTTGACTGTGTCAGAAAACTGACACAGCTGCTTTTGAGGCCGGCTCAGACAGAAAATGACTGCTCCCCACATTCGAAAGCTCCTCTGCTCCCCCTTGCCTGGTGAGACAGTTCCTGCAGCTTTGATGTTAAAAACCCTTGGCAAAGTCCACGCTGCTGCCCACGGCTGACTTCTAGAGGCCTGGAAGAGTACAAAGCCCCCCTCCACACACACACCCCGTACTTAGCCAAACATATGATGCTTAAGGAGCTCTGCCCCCTAAGGCCTTGCCTTTGCTTTTCCATTTCTCTCTGCAGGGGAACTCCTTCTTCGTAATGACCAATTTTCTCAAGTCAGAAGGCCAAGAACAGAAGCTATGTCCTGAGGTAAGCAGGGGGCCCTCTCAGAGAGATGAAGGGGGAGATTCATTCTGGGAAAGAGCTCTTTGTCAGCCTGCCTCAGTCTAGGGGCCGTTTGGACACCTGTTTTTGCCCTCACAGGCTCTCTGTGCAGCTCACAACAATATTATTCCTGGCATGTGTATGATTTATTTCCCATTTCATTGAAGCCTCCCAAATTCAGGAGGATACCTCCCAGACCCTAATTTACACAAGAAAACACTTAAGACATATCATGATACACTTCGAGCCTTCAGAAAACGTGCTGCTCGTAGAACCAAAATGATCACCCAGAACAGATGAAACCCAAGGCCTCTGAGGGTACCACTGCTTAGAGGGCAACACGTGACTCTGGGGAGGGGGCGTTTAGCCTACACTGAACACTGGCTTGGGTCATTCCACCTGCACACGTGCCTTCTCTTTACATGTCAATACCCATGCTATCTCTGGTTATTTCAGTAAATGTGGCCAAGCCCTAGTGTATACATGAATTGGTACAGATTATTCTGGCTATTCAAACGCCTGTGCACCCCAAGGGCGTCACACAGCTTGGTTTAGTCTCACGGTCCCTGGTGGGCTGAGCTCAGCTGGGCAGCTTTCTGTTGATTTGGCTTGTGTCTCACAGAGCTGTGGTTGCAAAACAGCTGCTGTTAGCATCATTTGGAGGTACCTCATCACTCCCAGGGACTCCCAAGAGTTTTTCTCTTCTCGGGGGTCTTCCCACATGCTTCCTCCAGAAGGGTAGCCACGTTTCCAAACTGCATCTCAGGGACCCCAGAGCCAAGAAGGCAGAAGTAGGCATAAGCCTGGAGCTGGCACCATGTTAGTTCTGTGATCACACATAGGCCCAGCTCCAAAGGGAGGGAAATGCTTCATCTATAGGCCAGTAGTGTGATCAAGAACTTCCCCAACCCATGCAACAATCACAAAACAAATGTTAGAGTCTCTTTAACAGACAGAAATAGAATTGGTTTATCTTCTTTCCTGGGAGTTCCTTATAGTTGATAATGAAAATCACAACCACTCAAGAGCCATAGTACATATTCATTCATTCATTCATTCATTCATTCATTCATTCATTCATACTACAATGATCAAGACCTGTTATGAGTTAGGCTATAGAGATGTGACTGAGGCTTTGCAATTAAAAGAGTCATAGTTGAGCCAGGCAGTGGTGGCGCACGCCTTTAATCCCAGCACTCAGGAGGCAGGGGCAGGTGGGTCTCTGTGAGTTCGAGGCCAGCCTGGTCTACAGAGCGAGTTCCAGGACGGTGAGGGCTACATAGAGAAAGCCTGCTCAAAAAAAATTAAAAAATTAAAAAATTAAAAAAACCAAAATAAAACAAAGCCAAAATAACAACAACAACAACAAAATAAACCAAACAAATGCCCAGATGACAAGGAACAGATGCCACTGTACATCTGTCTTTCCAAGACTAGCGGTTCGACCTGCTGCACAAAGTCAAACACACAAACAAACCCTTTCTTTTTCCTTGTTCTGAACTTCGGCCCCAGACACAGCTGAACCATTCTCTCCAGCCAGGAGTGTGCTAACCATGTCCTTTCTTTCCATGAGGCCTGCTGCACCTTGGTACCTGTGCGGGCAGGGCCACTGCAACCTCAACCTTGCCACCACTCTCTACCCCAATCCCTGAAAGTGCTTCCTGGCTGCCTTAACACCTGCTGTTTACATTTTTACTTATTTTTGGTTTTGAGATATAATTCATCCACTCTAAAACCTATGACTCCCGAGTATACAGTTCGGGGATTTTTTTTTTTTTTTTTTTTTTGCAGCTTCATGCAACCCATCATCATAATTACCTAATTCCAAAAAACAGTTTCTATCACCCCCAAGGAAATTTTGACTCTCAAAACAAGTTGTCCCCATTAGTGACCAATTTGTCTCTCCTCCCTACAGCCACTGACAACCAGGCTGCTCTTCTCTGTGGATTTGCCTATCCAGGACATTTCCTATACATAGAGCCACACAGGACATGGCCTCTTGTGTCCGGCCCTTTTCACACTGCGTCATGTTTTGAAGTCATCCCTATGTAGCATGTGTCAGGACCTGGCTGAACAAGACTCCACATATGGGGGCTGAAAAATTAGTCAACCATTAAAGTGCTTTCATTCATGCATGAGGATCCAAGTTTGATCCCCAGCACCCACATAAAGAGCAGGGTGTAGTCATGCCCACTTGTGATCCTAGTGCTGGTGAGGCAGGCAGGTGGGTCCCTGGGGCTTGATGGTAGGCCAGCCAGCCCAGCCAAATAGTGAGCTAGTCTTAGTGGGAGACTTGTCTCAAAAAAAAAAAAAAATAAGATGGAGAGTGACAGAAAAAGACACCTGACATTGACCTCTGGCTTACACACACACACACACACACACACACGAATGAGCCACCCTTTATCTGTCCTATCTCACACTGATGGATTTGGTCTGTTTTCACTTTCTGGCCACTGGGAGTAGCGCTTCAGTAACAGTGGTGAGCAGAGGTTTGTGGTATCTTGGTGATGTGATGCTCACTCTCTGTTCTTCTGCCTTTCCTTCTGCAGTTCCCCACCAGCCGCTCTGCACTCTGTAAATCTGACAGGGACTGTAAAGAGGGATGGATGGACGCGCAAAGCAAAGGTGCTTTTCTGTCTTTCTCTGAACTGTTGAGAAGGGATGAGCCAGTGACTTTGTGACATTCAAACTGTGATGCTTAGTTTGGAGTCGAGTCCTTAGCCTCTGGCTTTCGGTTGCCTTTCCCTCAACCAAATCACAAGTCAGGCTGTGCCTGTTTCCTGATTTGTCCCCAACAAACCAGCTAAAGCCTGTACATGTGACTCCAATGCCACCATTGGAGAGATGCTGGGTCAGGTTCTAATTGTTGAAGCACTTCCCCAAAGGCAGGGAACTTGAACCTCCAAGGACCTGGAAGCTTAACTTTTTAATTTTACTTTTCCTTCTCTCCTTCCCTCCCTCCCTCCCTCCTTTCCTCCTTCCCTCTTGCTTTCTTTTCTTTTCTTTCTCAATAATGGAGCTCAAACCCAGGGCTTCTTGAAGACTGGGTAAGCACTCTAGCACTGAGCTACAGCCCCAACCTTGCAAAAAGACATGGCCTTGTGTTCTAACTTTAAAAGGCATAAGACTCTGATATGGTAGTGCAGGTCTTTAATCCCAGCAGAGGTAGAGGCAGGCCAGTCTTGTCTACATAGCAAGTTCCAGGCCAGCCAGAGCTTACATAGAGAGACCCTGTCTCAAAACAAGGAAGTAAGAGCCACCAGTGGTTACAGTGTACACACTCACACTCACAGAAAAGTCCATTCCATAACATGTACATGTGAGTTGCCATGGAGATCACTGTAAGGTGGCTTGCCCTTTATCAGTTCTCTCTCTTCCTGACACTTCAGAAAGATGCTCCCAGTCCCTCATGTGGCTTCACACATCCCCAGACGAGCTGTGTACCCCTGGAAACACCCAGATGCCACATGAGAAGCCATACTTTAGTCCACATACAGTACACATTGTATACAGAACTCTCCTCTAAGGCATCGCTCCCTGAAGAAAACAAAAACAAAGGGCAGGCAGACTCCAGCATCTCCCTATGCTATCTCTGGGCCTTTCTAGGGATGCATTGCCAAGTGTTCTGTTTAGCTTGGCACGCGTAGGTGAGGAGGGTTCATGGGAGAAGTATCTGCTTGGGCCTAAGAGTGTAGTTGTCTCTGTGTAGGCTGAGTTCATGGTGCCTTGTTCGGTACATTCACATCTGTGGTTCTTCAACCCCTTAAAACTTGTAGGACTCCAGACTGGCAAGTGCATACAATATGATAAGAACAGGAAGACCTGTGAAGTCTTTGCCTGGTGTCCCGCAGAGGAAGGGAAAGAGGCTCCCCGGTGAGTTGCATGACGGGAGGCATAAACAGTGGCCTTGGCTGCAAAGTCCTGGCTTGGGGAACCTCTGTGTCATCTCAGGGAAGGCCATGCCAGCTCTTAACATGTTATAGTGGTCCTGAACCAGCTGGTATGTAGGTGTGGCCTGGAACACCCTTAAGTGGCCCTGACTATCATGGCTGCTCTGGAAACCCTCCCCAAGAGGTACAGCAGGGTTTGCTCTGATCCATCCATGCTCATATTTAATGACAAAGATTATGAAGAAGCAGAGCTGAGGAGGCGGCTCAGTGAGGAAAGTGCCTGTCCAGCAAGCCTGGGGTCCTGAGTTTGAATCCCAAGCACTGACATAAAAAGCCAGGTGTAGCAGCAGACACAGTAGTCCCAGCTGAGAAGGCAGAGTCAGGGGCTGCTGGCCAACTAGTCTAGCCAAATTGGTGAGCTCGAGGTTTGGTGAGAGACACTGCTTGGAGAGTGCTACCAACTGCTAGCCTCCACACACAGGCATTCTGAGGCCTGCGCACCTGTGGGCATGTGCATGTAACACACACACACACACACACACACACACACACACAGAGCAAGAGAGAGAGAGAGACTGCTTCTAGAAGTGTAGTGGCTCTAGAACATCTCTGTTCAATAGAATTTCCTTTAGTAATGGGAATGTTTGTTATCCATGGTGTCCAATATGGCAGCAACCAAGCTATTTTATGTGTGGTGACTGCACACATAAAATAAGGAATGTAATTTTAATTGAAAATACAAAAATACACTTGTAGTACATGCCTTTAATCCCAGAATTTGGGAGGCAAAGGCAGGCAGGGGTTCTTTTTTTTTTTTTTTTTTTTTTTTTTTTTTTTAAAAAGGGTTTCCCTTTTTTTTCCTGTGGCTTTGGAGGAAGCTGTCCTGGAACTAGCTCTTGTAGACCAGGCTGGTCTCGAACTCACAGAGATCCACCTGCCTCTCTCTGCCTGCCAAGTGCTGGGATTAAAGGCGTGCACCACCAACGCCCGGCTGGCAGGCAGGGTTTCTATGAGTTTGAGAGTTTGAGGCCAGCCTGGTTTATGGAGTGAGTTCCAGGACAGCCAGGGCTACACAGAGAAACCCTGTCTTGAAAAACAAAAGAACAAAAGAAAAACAAAAGACAAAAAAATTAAAATTTTTTATATTATACTTATTGACATTTACATTTGTTAGTTTGCTTTGCTTATTATGTGGGTGCTTATGTGCCATAGCATACATCTGGGCCTCAGAGGACAACTTTCGGAAACTGGTTCTTTCTTTCCACCATGTGGGTCCCAGGGAGTGAACTCAAGCCATTAGGCTTAGAGGCACCTTTGCCAGAGCTGCCTCACTGGCCTGATTTAGTCTTAGTATCCACTTATGCTTTATGAGACTTCCCAGACCAAGCAGGACTCAGGACCACTCTGTCTGTGGGACAAAGAGAAGGCTGCCCAAGCTGACACGTATACAGCTCAGGCCAAGGTCCATCACGCCATCCAATGTCCTGGTGCAGGCAGTAGGTAGAACCGCCCTTTCTGGCCTTTGGTTGTCAGCCCAGTTTCATTTCTAGGTCAGGGACGTTTCTGTGTGCAGAAGGTACCATGCTGTAAGTGGGAAAGCAGCCTCCACCGAGGGACTGCTTGGGTCCACACAGAGGACTCTGTGTTTGTCAGTTTCAGCTCTGCCACCAGCTCATTCATCAGATGAATACCGTGTGTCTCCACAGGCCTGTCCCAGAGCCCTTTCATTCTTTCTGTTATTGTTATTGCCAGTGTCTTTGAGACAGGGTCTTACTATGTAGCCTTGGCTATCCTGGAACTCACTAAGTAGATCAGGCTGGCCTCAAACTCACAGAGAACCACCTGCCTCTGCTTCCTGTGTATTGGGATTAAAGGTGTGTATCACAATACCTGCTGTTATTTTTATTCTTCTTACTTTTGTAATACTCCTGCCTCAGCCTCCTGAGTTCTGGACTTACAGCCATAAACCACCTTTTGACATGATTGGGCAAGTAGTGTCCTCTCATGGCATGTGAACCAGGTAAGATGGTTCACTTAACACCCTAACCCCCATCCAACACAGCTACCAAGGAGTTGGCGTTCGTCAGTTACTTCCCTTGTGTGTCACTTCATATGACATAAAAATCCAAAATATGAGATGAGCAGGTAGGGAGTGGGTCCCCAGGTTCTTGCCCTGTGCCAGGAGAGATAAACTCACTCTGGAGACCAGGCTGGCCTCGAACTCACAGTGGTCCCTCTGCCTCTGCCTCTGCCTCCTGAGTGCTGGGATTAAAGGCATGTGCTGTCACCACCACCACCACCTAGCTACATTTAAAATATTTTAAGGCCAGAATCCAGTACAAAGCAGGAATTCATTGTAAATAATACTATTTTATGCAAGTACCATGAATCCAATTTTATTAAATGGAAAAAGAAGGTATATTATTTTTGTTTTGCTGTTTAATTGATTAGTTAATTAATTTTTACTCCTTAAGGGAGACATCCAGAATCCCTGGTTCCAGGCTTCAAAAGTGTGAGGTTCTCTCTTCTCCCCATGATCCTTCTAATTATTCTCTCTTCTGTTTTGCCTTTCTGCACATTGTAGTTCACAGAGTTCAAAAGTTTCCACAAAAGCTCTGGAATGTTCTAATTGGCATGACTGTGTCTTAAGACCTCTGTGAACCAATCACTGTGGTCAAGGGAAGTGGCTGATACTGTGCAGGAAGCCTTAGGTCGAATGTCCACGTGAGACAATTAGGATGAACAGGAAGTAGAGTTGTCCCCACCCAACCTTCTGTAGCCTCTGTGGGCTGGGGAGCCCAGGAGGGAGAAAACTGAGACTACGCCAAAAGCAGAGTATGGGTGCTGGATAGACAAAACTAAGTAATCTCCACAGCTATGCCCCAGCAGAACCAAACCTAGGTTACAGAAGCCCTGGAATGGAAGTCAGATGGTCCTTGTGTCCCTTCTATCCTTGTCTGTGTTGCTGGAGTGTGAAATAATATAAGAGTCTTTTGTTTGTGCTTTGGTTTTGGGTTTTTTGTTGTTGTTGTTGTGTTTTGCTTTGTTTTTGTTTGTTTTTTCGGCACAAAGATTTTTCTGTGTAGCCCTGGCTGTCCTGAACTTACTCTGTAGTCCAGATTGGCCTGGAACTCACAGAGATTCGCCTGCCTTTGCCTCCCCAGTACTGAGATTAAAAGCATGCGCCACCACTGCTCCCAAATTTGTTTTTGTTTTTTAACCTTCAGCCAGTCCCCATTTTTCATAGATTTTCAACTGCTGATGGTCTTGTTGATCACTGTATCCCAGGGCTCTGCTCCATGCCCAGTACCATAATTATTTGTTGATGAATGGTTGTCTGGCTGGTGGGTAAGTGACCTATCTGTAGCCTGGAATTTTGATTCCTCTAACTCAGTATAAAACTAAATGCTACTCAGAGCCTCTGATGAATGAATGAATGAATGAATGAATGAATGAATGAAATTATGAATGAATGATATAGACAACTCTGTGTGTTGTTCTGTGATAAAGACTGGACATACCAAAATAAAATTATCACTCAGCCTTGCAGGGACCTCAAGCCTATCTTGGAAGTCTCAAACATGGGCGCTCAAGGGCTGACTGGCACTGCCTCAAAGCCAATTACGCTTATTCTGTCTCAGTTTCAAGTTTATGAGTGGATGGGGCTTGACACCAGCCATGGTGGGGACATTTATGGCCTGGTAATCGGCAAGTGCTACATGTGAGGCTCTTTCCTTTCTCCCTTGGAGAGCCAGTTGTCAGATGTTAGCGCACCACCGCACAACAGCCAGACATGCAATTGTATCAGTGTTGGGCATGACACCATAATTGCCGTGGGGTTCTCAAGTAGGGAGAAGGCTTCTGGGGGAAGCTACAGGCTTTATGGAGAACTTTGCAAAGTTGCTGTAGTCATTTCTCTTCACTCAAAAGCACAAAACCATAACCCTCTGGTCCCATGGACTCTTTGTCCCTGAAGTCACCAATCCTTGTTTTCCTCTCCCAGGCCTGCACTCCTGAAGAGCGCTGAAAACTTCACTGTGCTCATCAAGAACAATATCCACTTCCCCGGCCACAACTATACAACGTAAGAATCTCAAATGTCTGGCTGTCTTATCAATTTGTATGCATCAGTTATCTAGGCTGTGGAACAAAGGATCCCAAACCTGGGGAGTCTGAAAATTACAAGAGCTGTTCTCTCTCTCATCTGTGGATCGGGACTCTGGAAATGTCTTTGCTGGGTGGTTCTGGCTCATTTTCTTTCCAGAGCTGCCAGTCAGAGCTTCTGCTAGCTCTAGGTTTGATTAGAACTGAGTCCTTTTCCAGCCTTATCCATGTGGCTGAGGCAGCAAGGCTAAGTTCCTCACCATGCTCATCTCACCTAAGAACCATCTGAGTATCCACAGGACATGGTGGCTGCTTCGCCAGAGCAAGCAGTCTGCATAGCAAATGAGCAAGGGAAACTGAGATGGAAGCCATTGTCTTTGGAAGTGATACCCAACCAATTCTGCAATATGCTGCTGGTCACAAAGATTGTTCTTGGCACAATGTAAGAGGACATTCTACAAGGGTCCCCAGGAAACAAGGGAGCTGCTACACAGCTCACATCAATGAGTGATGGATCTGTTGGTAGTAGATCCATGTCGAGTTCAACCATGTCCCATTGGGAGCTTGACACAGAAGTGGTGAAGACACTTACACCACAGTAATTGGCAAGCACTACTCGGCAGGCGTTGGTTTTCCCTTTAGAGAAATGGTTGCTAAAACATCTGTCTGTTTGCAATTCTGCACAGGAGAAACATCTTGCCAGATCTGAACATCTCTTGTATCTTTCATAAGACTCAGAACCCTCAGTGTCCCATTTTCCGACTAGGGGACATCTTCCAAGAAGCAGGGGAGAGCTTTTCAGAGGTGGCAATTCAGGTTGGTGGTGTTTTTATATGTGTATCAGGGAGTGGAGGTTGTCAAATGTCAAGTAACACTGTCTGATGGTAGAGGCTAATATTCTGGCTCTTAAAGTCAAGTTTCACATTTATTTGAACTTGGTAAACCATACCCAGTGCCAGGGAATCCCACATCCTGAGTGAGTTACTTGATGCATTTCCCCTGTGGTTACAGTAAATAAATTTTCTTCTGTGCCTGGAGTCCAGAATTGGAGGTGAGCTCGGATGTCAACGGTAGTGCAACCCCCTCTGGAGGCTCCAGGGACAATGCATGTTTGCATTTCTACCTTCCCCAGCTGTGCTCCTTGTATTTATTGTATTTGTATTTATCTAGGGGTTGGCAACCCCTTTCTCTCTCTCTCTTTCTCTCTCTCTCTCTCTCTCTCTCTCTCTCTCTCTCTCTCTCTCTCTCTCTCTCTCTCTCTAAGACAGGGATTCTCTACAGGGATTCTCTGTAAAGCTCTGGCTGTCCTGGCACTCACTCTGTAGACCAGGCTGGCCTTGAACTCACAGAGATCTGCCTGCCTCTGCCTCCTGAGTGCTGGGATTAATGGCATGCATCATCACTGCCCGGTTGTACTGAAACCTTTTAATGAGTATTTCCCCCACAGAAAGAAAACTTTCCCTGAAATGATATTTCTGAGTGGGACAGTGTTTGATGGTTGCATAACCCACACCCAACAGACTTAGTGACTTTTCTTGTTGACTGTCCCCCAAGGGAGGAATCATGGGCATTGAGATCTACTGGGACTGCAACTTGGACAGCTGGTCCCATCACTGTCAGCCCAAATACAGCTTCCGCCGCCTGGATGACAAATATACCAATGAGTCCTTGATCCCAGGCTACAACTTCAGGTAACAGTATTGAGTGTGCCAATTGGCAGAAACAGTAAACAGAAAAGATGAGGTTGCTACTTAGTGGTTGCTACTATATTCTAGGAATGGCACACAGACAAAAATGTAAGTAAATAAAACATTATAGCTCATCAACATTACTGGTCATTAGGGAAATGTAAATTGAAACCACAATAAGATAAAATTGTAGGGCCAAGGAGATGGTTCAGGGATAAGGGGGCTTGCTGCTAAGCACAGCCTCAGAACACATAATGGAAAGGACAGAACTGGCTCTCACAAATTGTCCTCTGACCTCCACATGTAGGCCATATGTGTGCATGTACACACACACACACACACACACACACACACACACACACACACACACACACACACACACAAAGTTGTTTTTTTTTTTTTTAAGTAGGCAAGACTCATCTATGATGAAAAAAGACAGAATAGTATGTTCTGGGCTGGGAAAAAGTTTGCTGAGAAGATGGAATGAGTTGAAGGAATTTTTATGAAAACACAAGGGATTCATTTGTCAAAACCCATTACCAGGCTGGTAGTACACATCTTTAATCCTAGCATACAGAAGCAGAGGCAGGTGGATCTCTGTGAGTTTGAGGACAGCCTGGTCTACACAGCAAGTCCCAAGCTAGCCAGAGCTACTTACAGAAACATCGCCTTAAAATAAACAAGCAAACAAACCATTGAAGAGAACCCTTAAGACTTCTGCATTGTAAGACATGTAAATTATATCCCAATAGAACAGACAAATCTAACTAGAGCGTTTTTTTTTTAAGATTTTATTTATTTATATGTATACAGCATTCTGCTTCCATGTATATCTGCACACCAGAAGAGGGCACCAGATCTCATAACAGATGGTTGTGAGCCACCATGTGGTTGCTGGGAATTGAACTCAGGACCTCTGGAAGAGCAGTTGGTGCTTTTAACCTCTGAACCATCTCTCCAGCCCCCAACTAGAGCGTTTCTAATGATGGTAAAGTGCTCTAAGAAAATCAAACACGATAATGTGATAGGAAGATGTGGCCACGGAAGCCTCTCCAAGCACGAGGTAGGGGCTCTGCAGGCCTCCCTTTTCCAGTTAAGAGAGAGGACAGGAGCCTGGGCTCTGAGAAGAAACTAGAGAAACTTTTCACATCGGCAGTCTAGACTAGCAACCCCCAAAATGCAGGGCTCAGTACCAGCATGACATGGTGACTCAAAGATGCACATTCCTGGGCCTGGTCTCACCCCCTGATTCAGACTGGACAGTGGTGGGCCTGTGATCCACATTTCCACAAGTCTCTGAGGGGCTCTGCTGTTCACTCTAACGTGAACACTGCTGATGCAGACTCCTATCCTCTGAGCTCCATCCCAGAACCTGGGTCAGGGGCCTCACCTGGGTCAGGGGCCTCACCTGGGTACTTGCTTCAGTACCTCACAGAGCCTCCCCACCTCCAACTTAGCAAATACCTGCACTGGAACAAGTTCCCCCCAGAGACTCCATTTAGTTCTTTGTACCTGTAGAATGTTTTAAACCTTGTGATATTCTACACAAAGATCTGGGCTTTCTTTGTTTCCTGAGAAGCTAGTGTTTGACAAAGAGTTTATAAACTTTAGATAACACTGGGCCCATATCCCACATAACAGCATTGGCTGGAGCTGGGTATGGCCCCTGTAGAAAGAGCATGTGGCTTTTGTGTTGTCACCGTTCTTGCCACTTCTTTATGTGTCCTTCTCTGTGACCCTGAATCCTTATGCCCAGCCCCTGTGGAGATCAGAGTTGGAGATCCTGGAGTCAGCATCAAGCTGGCTGAGGCTTTTTGCCTCCTCTGGGTACGTGGAGTTTCATCTGGGCTGAGGAAGAGGCTCTTAGTTCAGGTAATTTTTTGATCACTCTTGCTGAATAGGGCGAAATGCTGAAGAGGCTGTGGCCATTAGCAAGAAAATGGGGACACGAAGAATGGCCCCATGACTGTGCTGGGCATTTTTATTTAGCAGTAAGCCAAAGCATGCAGGGCAATGTACCACCCAGACATTAGCCAACCCCCTTTTCTCTGAGCTGAACCTAAGAACATCGGCTCCTGGAGGGATTGAGCTCTCTAGAGGCCCAAAGGGGTTATGACGTCAGTATTCTTTCAGAATAGAGTGTTAGCAAATTTGTTGTTGAATGAGCACCAGGAGAACTCTTTGGCCAAAAATAAATTGTGGAGATCTGATAGGCAAGAGAACAAGTTATTTTCAAACAGCGTCACAAAAGAGAAGGAAATTACAGGCTATATGAGGTATTTGGGAAAATATAGCTTTCTTTTTTACAGGAAGTTAAAAAGTTCACATTATGTAACATTGTCCTCAAGAAAAAGATTTATGGGGGCTGGAGAGATGGCTTAGAGAGGCACTTGCTGTGCAAGTGAGAGGACATGAGCTCGGCTCTCTGCAATCATGTAAAAAGCCAGGCCTAGTGGTGTGTGCCTTGAATCCCAGTGCTGGGTAAGCCGAGACAGGAGGATCCCCTGGGGTTTGCTGGCTAGTCAGTCCAGACAAACTGGTGAGGAGCAGGTTCAGGGGGAGACCATGCCTGACAAAGTAAGATAGGAAGATACCTGATGTAGACCCCTGGTCTACACACACACACACACACACACACACACACACACACACACACACACACAATACATTACAGGATTTCCTCCCCTGGTGAGCACCTGCTGAAGTTGATTTGTATGTGTGATACTGGGGTATAAGATGCCTTTCTTGGGTCCAGAACATCTACATGGATAAGTATTAGTTTCCTGTGGCTACTATAGCAGAGTGGCTTAAGACCAAATTTAGTGAACGATAAATGTTTACTACATTTATTCTGTCACAGAGACAGGAAGTCTGAGACCAGGTGTCAGAGGACCGTGACTTCTCTGAAGGCTTAGGGAGGGGTCTTCTCTTGCCTCTCCCACTTCTGTCAGTTCCAGGAATCTCTCACTTTATAGCTGAACCACTCCAAGGTCTGCTTTCATCCAGAATGGTTTCTCTATTGTCTTTGAGTCTAAGTTTCCATCTTCTTTGTTTTATAAGGACACCTGCTAATCACAGGACGTAGGACTACTCAGAATCCAGGGGAAGCTCACCTTGAGATGCTTATTAACATTTGCAAAAGTTCGTTTGCAAATAGGGTCCTATTCACGGCTCTAGCCTAGGAGCCTATCTTCTCTGGGGTTCACTATTTAATCCATTACATGCAGAAAAGCATCCTTGTCCAGTGTCCCTCCCTGACTCACCACCTGCCTGTACTGAGATAGACTCCTGCCACTACTCCTTCTGAAACACCTCTTTAGTACTCAGGCCCAGAGGGCCCCCTTTTTGAATAGTCTCCGCATATACTCCTTGCCTTCCATTATGAGCTACAATGGCAAGAGCCCAGGAGCAGAAGTCCAAGTACTTACAAAATTGATGTTCCCAGCAAACCAACCACAAGGGTGAAGTGCTAATGCACACTGGCTTGTGTGTTAGAAAGTGGATCATTCAACAGAGCAGGGAGGAGAATATGGTCTCAGAAGGAAGCAATCGGATTCAAGGCAATGGGATTCCCTCTGGCTAGAAACAGGCACTAAAATACCCAAAACTGGGTTTAGTTTGGTTTTTCAAGACAGGGTTTCCCTAGCTGTCCTGGAACTTGTTCTGTATGCTGAGCTGGCCTTGAACTCACAGAGATCCGCCTACCTCTGCCTCCAAGTGCTGAAATTAAAGGCGTGAGCCACCACTTCCTGGCTTCAGTCTCAGGTTTTGAGGGTTTTTCACAAAAAGGATCCAGTGATATTCTGGCAGAACATCTGTCTTCTGTTTTCTTCTCTTCCTACACCTGGAAATAGATTGTGACCAACTTAGAAAGAAAATGTGTGTTTTTTTGTAAGGATAACCCCAAAAGGGTAGAAAGACTCACGCCAGAGCATTAGGAGACTTTGTGGTTTTGTTGTGTTGCACTGGACTGCATTGTTTTGTTACAGTTTTCTTTTTCTTTATTGAGGCAGGGTCTGACTAGACAGTCTAAGCTAGCCTTGAATTCACTGCATCACAGGCTGTCCTTAAATTCAAGGCAATCCTCCTGCCTCATCCTTCCAAGTGCCAAGATATCAAGTATATACCACCACATCCTGCTAAATATTTGTGGTTTAAGTCTGCCTGATTATCTGTGGAAAAAAAAAGTCACAAATATAACTTCTGTACCTGTCTGGGGTGGCTGTGATTTGTGCCAGGTTAGCTCAGAAAGAAACAATGGCAGGGAGAAGTCACTGTCAGTCAATATAAGCCTAAAGCCTATGTAACGTATCCCAGAGGGTGGGAGCAGGCCACCCTACCCAGGGTTGTAGGAGAAGCACCGGTTTGGTCAGAAACAGAGCAAGGGGTGGGTGAGGCCCGGATTGTGAGGGAAGGTAAGGCAGGCTGGGGAGAGAGTTGAGAGCTGCTGTCTTCAATGTTGTCATTAGTTACTGGGCTATAAGGACCTTTGTGAACTGCATGTCTGACCTGGCCCTACCTGCCTCTGTGTGCCTGAGGACAGAGAAATTCTAGCCTAATGTGAGAATTGGATAGACAAGATGGTAGCAGGATATCCAGAACTGGCCTGAAGGTTTGGCTCACAAAAGATGAATTTCACTCTGCTGTCCACTGACCTTTGGTTTGGCTCTGTGGCTAGTGGTTGGCAGAAAGATGAACGCAGAATCTAAGAAAGCACAGTTACGGCAGATCCTTGCGCTGTCTCCAGTAGACAGAGGGCTGAGATTCACGTTGTCCTCCTTTCATGCTTTGTTCTAGAAGCCATGCCTATTAGCACCCGGGAGGCAGAAGCAGGCAGATCTCTGTGAGTTTGAGGCCAGCCTGGTCTCTAGAGTGAGTTCAAGGGCAGCTAGGACTTTGTGGAAAAACCAAAACAGAGGAAGAGAGAGATAAACTTGTCTGACATTGTGGCATACACCTTTAATACCAGCAGCTGGAGGCAGGCAGATCTCTGAGTTTGAGGTTAGTTTGCATAGTGAGTTCCAGGAAGCCAAGACTACATAGATAGAGAGAGCCTTGTTTAAACAAACAAACAAAACAAAACAAAACCAAGAAGAAAGGAAAGAGAAATAAACATATCACCTGAAATTAGTTTTGCTTATTGTTGACCTTATATTGCCTTAGATGTGGGATGTTTACATAGGAAACTAAAAGCCAATTTTTTGTTACTCTGTAATGATGGAAGCAGGTGAGGTAACTTGGGGACACTCTTTGGTTCCAGTTGGTCAGAGAATAATTAGAAGGGTGGAAGGTGATCTTTCCTCTGCTAACTGTGGCAGGCTTCAAAAGCCGATGAGGAGACTGGTTTGGCTACTAGTTTGCTTTCTCCCTGTAAGATACCAGCACGCTCGGTGAGACTGTTGTAAATGTGGCTGCTTTTCTCCCACAGACACGCCAAGTACTATAAGGAAAACAATGTGGAAAAGCGGACACTGATCAAGGCCTTCGGGATCCGCTTTGACATCCTGGTTTTTGGCACTGTAAGTCTCTCCTTCCCATGACTGTCTAATTACGGATTTAGTGAGGAGTGAATGCTAGCAGCCCTAACCAGTAGTTGGCTCCGTGCAGTTCACTTGTGGCATGAGAGGAGGAAGAAAATGATTTTGGGTTTCTGCTGATGAACAAACCATCTGGAAAACATGAAATATGACTGAGGAAAAATCCAAATATCCAACCTTTGCTTTATTTTTGTGGGACAGGCTTTTGCTACATAGCCAGCTGGCCTCCAATTCTTAATCTTCCTGCCTCATCCTTCTAAGTGCTGGGATTATAGGTTTGCACCACTACACCTAGCTCTAATGTCAACTTTTCAAATTCTTTAATTCAGAACTGGAGACAGCTCAGAGGGTGAAGGGCAACCATGAGGACCTAAGTCCAGACCCCAGAACCCAGGCAAAGGCTGTTGTCCCAACACTGGAGGATTCTGGAGACACAACAGCCAGTCAGGTTCACTGAGAAACTTGTCTCAAAAGCAATCACACAGGTTGAGGAAAGATATTCCAAAATCAGCCTCTTCTACATGTTTGCATGGGCAAGCACACCTGCACATATATACATGCACATATCACAGACACCACACACACACTAAATAAACAAATAAATAAATAGCAGCTGACACTGAGCTGGAGGAATAGCTCAGCTGGTAGAATGTGTGCCTATGAAGGATTAGAAGACCTGGGTTTGATCTCCAGCATGTGATTGATGCCATATTGTAACAAAAGAATCAATGAAAAGCAAAGTTGGGTGTGGTGGTGCACACTTTTAATCCCAGAACTCTGAAGGCAGAGGCAGGTGATCTTGTGTGTTTGGGGGCAGCCTGGTCTACACACCAAATTCCAGGCTAGTAAAGGCTACATAGTAAGACCCATAAAATATAACTGAGCAAATGGAAAGGCCACTGAGAGCAGACCTGTAAGAGACCAATAAGAATACAGATGGGTGTAGACATGTCTGCTCCCCAAGTTATCCTACACTATGGGAGAGCTTATCTGAAACACCTCATCTTATAGGAAAAGCAACCTCCAGAGCCCCCCCCCCCCCTTATTGACCACATCTCTCTAAAGTATTCTGGATGGCAGAAATGGGAAGCAAGATGTCTCGTGGTCCCTGTGACAGTTGAGCACCCGGATATGTGCCTTGGTGCTATCACTGGTTTCTGCACGTGCTAGATGCAGAGACTGCAAGTTAGCAAGAAAAGGCGCCGCTCTAAGTTCAGCTGAGTAAAGCTGCCCACTCTGTTGCAGGGAGGAAAGTTTGACATCATCCAGCTGGTTGTGTACATTGGATCCACACTGTCCTACTTTGGCTTGGTAAGAGATTCTCTTTCCTGTCCTTTAAGAAAATGATTCAGAGGGGCTGGAGAGATGGCTCAGCGGTTAAGAGCACTGGCTGCTCTTTCAGAGGACCCGGGTTCAATTCCCAGCACCCACATGGCAGCTGTGTAAATAAATTATTAAAAAAAAAAAAAAGAAAAAGAAAATGATTCAGAGCCAGGCGGTGGTGGCACAGGCCTTTAGCCCCAGGGAGGCAGAGGCAGACAGATCTCTGTGAGCTCCAGGCTAGCCTGGTGCACATGGTGAAACCTAGTTTTGAAAACACAATAGCAACAAAAACAGCAAAGAAAATTTTGATTTGTCAGAAGTTTCACTGGCACCATGTTTGCTTTTCCACAGGCCACTGTATTCATTGACTTGATCATCAACACGTACTCAAGCGCCTTCTGCAGGTCCGGTGTTTACCCCTACTGTAAGTGCTGTGAAGTGTGTGCAGTCAATGAGTATTACTACAGGAAGAAGTGTGAGCTGGTTGTGGAGCCGAAGCCGGTAAGGCATGCCACTCTGTCAGATGCCCCCACTCCACACACACACAGGTCAGGTGTGTGGTGTCTAAATTGTGTGTGGGGGGGGGTAGACCATAATCACAGTTTCATCCCCAAACAGCTTTCTCTCTAATGAGCCCTTTGGTTCTGAGAAAGAAGAGAAGCAAAAATGGAGAAGCTAGACATACTTCTAGGGAAGGGAAGACAAATCTTTACATTCCAGTTTTTGCCATTTATTAAGTTGGTACAACTCCTTCCTGATCCCATATAGTACAATGGCTTCAGAGGACAATCATTTGGCAATTTAAGTGGGAGTGTTTTCTATCCTGGTTTTTCCATTTCTCCATACTTTTCTAGAGAAACCTTTATTTAAGATGTACATGGTATATGTGTTTAGGATGGTCACTAAATTTTATTAAACTATTAATAATGCTTGTTAAATTACTAGTAACCGGGTCAGTGGGGGACATGGGAGGATGGGAGGGAGAGGGAACTGAGATTGATATGTAAAATAAGATTGTTTCTAAATTAATAAAAAACAAAAAATTACTAATAACCAAAGAATAATTTAGTAATAGAGCATTTGCTTAAAGTGTGTGAAGCCTGGGTTCAATACCAAATATTGCAATAATGAATAGATAAATAACAGAAAGAAACAACATCTACCCAAATGTCTACTGGATGAATGGAGAATGACACCAAGATAAATCCATAGTAAAGAATTCTAGTTATCACTCAGGTAGCTATTATTAACAAGAAAGAAATTAAAGCCTTTGGCTACTTCAACACACACACACACACACACACACACACACACACACACACACACACACACACACACACACACACACACACACACACACGCACACACACACCCGTCACTCACTAGAAAGAATAACGTAATCCCATTACATGGGAAACTAAGGCAAGGAGAATATGAGTTCCAGGTCAACCTGGAGACGACAACAAACATACCTGGAAAGTTTCTTGTGGAGCCTTGTCTATAACGCACTGGAGATGCTCAGGCAGGTGTGTGGCCTCGAGTTCAAGGCTAGTCTAAGCTACAGAATAATGCCTGTCTCAAAGCAAAACAACAAAACCCCACACTCATGTATTCAGAGTGAAAAACAGAGATGGGTGAGGAGGAGACACTGTGATTAAACACTACTTGTCCAGAGTCACACAGAGAGAAAACGGGAGAGCTGAGGTTTCACCTGAGGCTGGCCAGTCGGGCTCAGGGTCTGTTACAGCCACTTGGGTACAGGTGATAACATGAGCTAATATCCAAGTAAACAGAAGAAACATATGTCACAGTTTATAAGTTAAAAAGACAACTGCACACATAATGTACTTCTATAAGTTGTCGATATGTACATTTCACATATATGCATGTATACATGCATCCATGTGTCCTGGACCCACACAAGAGTGCTGGCAGCAGTGGGTGCTGGTGGTTTCTGGCACAGCCTAAGGTAGGGGAGTAGGCACACCTATCTTGTTTTGAGATTATTACTTTGGACTTGGTGAGGCGGGTCTACTCCACTCACTTGCATGCCCACAACAGAGACACTGCTGGCTGCTTGAAAAAAAACAGAGGGTTACTTTGTTTTCCCAGGGAACTTCACTGTCCTTTTCCAGCAGCCAAATGCACAGCTCATTGTTTATTGTCTGCTGTCCTTGTGCTCATGATGGAAATACAAGTTCAGCAAGCTTAGTTTGGTGGCACTGGCCTGCAATCCCAGCAGTTGGTAGACTGAGGCAGGAGGATAGTGAGTTTGAGGCTAATTCAGACTGGAGAATAAGACCCTGCCTCAAAACAGAAAATAAGGAGAGGAAAAGGGGGGAGGAGGGGAATGAAGGAAGGAAGAAAAGGAGAGAGGAAAGAGAGGAAGGGAGGGAGAGAGGGAGGGAGAGAGGGAGGGAGGGAGGGAGGAAGGCAGGGAGGGAGGGAAAAGATTAGTTCACCTTTGTAACTAAAACTCAACACAGCCCTGCCCAGATGAGTGAAATTTAACATGTAAGCAATTTAAGGACAACACCATAGCCCTGCAGAGACTGCATCTTCAGACGGACACTGAACTCAGAAGAGCTCAGCACAGGCCATTACAGTGTGCGGGGCCTCGCTGGACTGTGGCCAGGATGGCTCTTCCAATGCAGGCAATTCTTGTAACTCCTGTACAGAAGCAGACTTTTCTCTTTCTTTCCCTAGACGTTAAAGTATGTGTCCTTTGTGGACGAGCCCCACATTCGTATGGTGGACCAGCAGCTGCTCGGGAAGAGTCTGCAAGTTGTCAAAGGCCAAGAAGTTCCAGTAAGTGAAAACACTTAGTCTTTTTTTAGGAAATTTTGCTCTTAAATATAAACACTAGTAGATATTTATATAAATCACAGTTGATGAATTTTAGCAAAGTAAACATACTGGTGGAACCAGCACCCAGATTGAAAAATTAGTTGTTTGGGGGCTGGTAAGATGGCTCAGAGAGTAAAGGCACTGCTGTTAGGGCTAATGGCCTGAGTTGGATCCCTGGAACCCACATGGGGAAGGAAAGGACCAAGTCTATCAAGTTAACCTCTGGTACATGCACGCGAGAGCGCGCTCACACACACACACACACACACACACACACACACACACACACACTCACACACACACATGCTCACACATATCTGCAAAATGATTTAAAATGAGATGTTTTGGGCTAGGGGTACAGCTCATAGTAGAGTTTTAGATTTTAGTTCTTAGTTTTTTGAGAGAGGGTTTCTCTGTGTAGTCCTAGCTGTCCTAGAACTCAGAGATCCTCTGGTCTCTGCCTCCTAGATGCTGGGATTTAATAGTAGATTATTTATCCAGAGGAGAGACAGAGAGAGAATGAATATCCCAAAAGTCCCTTTTTTGCCTCTCCTGAATTGCCATCTTTCCTTAAAAATGGTCTTCACCTTGCATCTAAGAATTAGGTTTTAGGTTTTTGTTGTTTTGAGACAAGGTCTCACTCTGCATCCTTGGATGGACTGGAACCCCAGTGTAGACCAGGTTGGCCTGGAACTCATAGAGATAGAAGTTCTGCCTCTGAATCCCGAAGGGCTGGGATTAAAGGTATGTACCACCACAACCAGCTTAGGACTAGTTTTATTAATTCTAGAATTTTGTAGAAGTTGAGCTGTATAACTGTACAACTGTCTATACCTGTAGCTCCAGCACTTGAGAGATTGAGGCAGGGAGATCATGTGGACCCAGAAGTTCAGACCAGGCTGGGAAACCCAATGAGACCCTATTGCAAAACAAAATTGAGTCGTATAATAAAGACTCCAGGCAGAAAGTCTGACTCCTGTCACTCACTATTTTAGTGTGTTATTTGACATAACATACAGTGGCAGTTCATTCTCATTTTTGTATAATCTGCCTTGTAAACATTCAGTTTATTTACCCATTTCAGCATGGAAGTTCATTTGGGGAGTTTCTAGTATGGGGGCAAATGTCAGTCATTCCATGATGGCAAACATACGGCATTCTGTATGGTGAGCTCCTGAGAATCACGGCCAGCGTGTGTTTTGGTTTTAGAAGATACCAATACACAGCTGCAAAGTGGCTGTGGTCATTTGTGTTCCCCCCCCACCCCTCACAGTTCTGGTCGTTAGGCACCTTTGCCAGCTCTATTGATTTCCTGTGGCCATACCAGTGACCACAAACTAGGTGGCTTTAAAAGCTGGTTTATGCTCCTGTCTGGAGGCAAAACGGCTGAGGTTAAGGTCTTAGCACGGCACCGGTTCCCCTTGGAGGCTTCAGGGAAGAATCCCCTCACCATTCCCAGCACTAGCTGGGCCCCAGGGGGCTTCTGCACTAGAATGGGAAGCACGGGCTTCTACTTCCTTTCCCATCACAGCAGACAGTTTGTCTAGTCCATTCTCTACCAGAGGGTTAGCATTAGCTTTTAAGAATGTGGTATCAGGGCTGAAGAGATGCCTCAGAGGTTAAGAGCACTGACTGTTCTTCCAGAGGTCCTGAGTTCAATTCCCAGCAACTACATAGTGCCTCACACCCATCTGTAATGAGATGTGGTGCCCTCTTCTGGCCTAGAGGCACACGTGCAGACAGAATACTGTACACATAAATTAAAAAAAAAAAAAAACTTTAAGAAAAAAAAAAAAAGAATGTGGTATCAAATTCAAGAAGATTCCCTTTTGTGCTTAGTTTGTGAGGTTTTGTTTTTCTTTGTTTTTTGTTTTATCATGAATGGGGATATGGAAATGATCTTTAGCTTTCCAAGCTGTTGGAACTTGCTGACTTACAAAGGCTAGGTGGTGGTGTTTTTACTTTTGGGGGCCTGCCATCCAGCTTCCAAATATACATATACAGAGAGAGGCTTATTCTTTCTTATGAATGCCTGGCCTCAGCTTGGCTTGTTTCTTGCTAGCTTTTCTTAACTTAAATTATCCCATCTACCTTTTGCCTCTGGTCTTTTATCTTTCTCTATTCTATGTTCCTTTCTTTGCTTCTTACTCCTTACTTACTTACTTCACTCCTAGATCTCCTTTCCCAGATTTCTCCTCCTATTCTCTCTGCCTGCCAGTTCTGCCTAGCGTTTCTCTTGCCTCACTATTTGCTGTTCAGCTCTTATTAGACCAATCAGGTGTTTCAAGCAGCAAAGTAAGACAGCTTCACAGAGTTAAACAAATGCAACATAAAAGAATGCAGCACATCTTTGCAACATTAAACAAATTTTCCACAGCATAAACAAGTGTAACACATCTTAAACTAATTTCCCACAACAGCTAGGTATGTGTGCAGGCGTGTGTGCATGTTTGTCCGTGTGAATGCATGTGTGTGCAAGTGTCTGTGGACACCAGAAGTTGATACCATTTGTCTTCCCCAATCTCTATCATTATTTCAAGACAGAGCTTCCTTCTGAACCTGGGGCTCCCTAATTCTGCTGGACTGGCTGGCCGGTGAGCTCCAGGGATCCTCCCTTCTCTGTGTCCTTCGCACTGAGACTTGAGGTTGCACCATGCTCAGCCTCTTATGTGAGTGCTGGGACCTAACTCAGGTCCTTACGCTTGCATAACAAGCGCCTTACAGACTGGGCTATCTCTGTACTCACAACATTCTGTCTTAATATGATTGCTATTCTTTGTATTTATTCGTAGATTTGCTTATTAGTTAGGATTTTTATATCTCATCTTGGGAGGTACTGATCAAAATTTCCCTTTCTTAAAATGTCCTTGCAGAATTTGTGTAGAAAGTGAACTATTTAGCTGAGTGTGGTGGTTATGTCCCTGTAATCCCAGCAATTTCGAGGTACAGGCATGAATATCAGTTCAGGGCCAGCCTTATATAGTATGTTTGGGGTCACCTTAGGCTACAAGAAACTCTGTCTTAAAAAAAGGATATTTAGTATTTAAGACTTACGTATTTACCATTTTGAGGCACATAATTTAGTGATGTTCCATATGTTACAATGCTATTCCGCCAATGCCACCGACTCCAGAACTCTTCTTCTATCTTCTCAGAAAGAAACCCCAATCCATCAAGTAGCCACTTCCCATTTCCAGTTGCCTCTGGTAACTACTCACCTACTTCCTATTGGTCTGTCTACCCTAGAAATTTGCATAAGGTGGCCATATACTATGTGATCCTTTGTCTCAGTTCTTAGCGTTGCGTTTTCAAGGCTCATCTATGTTGCAGTATGCCATTGTTTCAGTCTGTTTTCTGGCTCAGTAGTATTCCTGGAAAGACAGACTGCTTGGGTAGGTCAGCTTTTGTTTATCTACCTATTAGTTGGTGGTCCTGGGTTGTTTGGGCCTCTCATCAAATACTCAGACTATTTGGTGTGAATGCACTTGGCTCAGGTCTCTTGTCTCCAGCATATGTCACACAGACTAGGCATGGCAATTCTGGCAACTTTGGAAGATAGCGAAGGGATATGCCAGTAGAGAGTCTGACAGGCATGGCAATAGCAGGAATGAATCAACAGATACTGTCTACTGTGTATTGGGCACTGCCCCAGGTACCAGGGATATAGAACAAATAAACAGAGTTCCTGCTTTCCCTTGGAAGAAAACAGTCACCAAAGAAACATATTAACTAGTGATATCCTTTCAGAAGGGGTCAGTCCCATGAAGAAGGCAGGGCACTGTCTTGATGTGATGGGACAATCACCCAGGAGGAGAGACACCCTCCAAAGGCAGCCAGGAAAGAGGCTTTTCTGAATTTCATTTTCCAAATATGTAAAGTAGAGACACAAATTTGTATTGCAAGAGGTTCTTAACAGATTCAACAGCAGAAACAGCTACCCAGTCTGATGCAGATAGGTGACAGCTGCTCCAGTTGCTGCAGTATTAAATGTGATTATATGGGTTGATACAGCTACTGAACCTAAAACCCGAGGGCTTGGTGATGCTGAAGGGTCTGGAAACTTGACTTTTTCAGAGGCCTCAGATGGATGTCATGGACCTGTCTAGGCTGTCCCTATCTCTCCATGACTCACCTCCCATTCCGGGACAACCTGAGGAAATGCAGCTGCTGTGTAAAGAGGTGGCCCCCAGGTCTGGGGACAGCCCAGGCTGGTGCCAGTGTGGAAACTGTTTCCCATCACGGCTACCAGAGAATCGCAGGGCCCTGGAGGAGCTGTGCTGCCGGAGGAAGCCGGGACCCTGCATCACCACCTCGGAGCTCTTCTGGAAGCTCGTGCTATCCAGACAAGCCCTGCAGCTCCTCCTTCTCTACCAGGAGCCCTTGCTGGTGCTGGAGGAAGAGGCCACTAACCGCAGGCTGCGACACTGTGCGTACAGGTGCTATACAATCTGGCGCTTTGGCTCCCAGGACATGGCTAACTTTGCCATCCTGCCCAGCTGCTGCCGCTGGAGGATCCGGAAGGAGTTCCCCAAGACAGAGGGGCAGTACAGTGGCTTCAAGTGTCCCTACTGACAACATGGCTGCCCCATTAAGGTGGCTCATAATACAGCTTGTCTTATAACCTAGAGCCACATTCTCTGACAAAGGGAACTTAGTTTTCCTACCTTGTAAGCCCTTTGTGTGTTGAAGACCTAGTTAGCCCAACCCGCAGGTGTGCAAGACCTCTCCACATGGATGAGAACCAGATGCAGATCTGAGCCTGGAGTCTGGCCCTGGGCTTTAATGTGTACGTAGGCTCCTCATTTCCAGACTACTTTCTCTGAACTATCGTGAGACCAGATTGAGATGGTGTAGGTGATCTCTTGTAAATGTTTACATAGCTCCATGGATGCAAAGGTCCAACCCTAAAAACAAACCCTTTGGGATTTGAGAATGTCCTGAGAGATTAAAGATGGTCACAATTCTTCAACACCCTCCCAACCCAACCCTAGCCGTTGTTTTCCCCTCCCCATTATGGGCAGCTCTGCTGGCTTCATCCAGTAGTGAATGTGACGTTGCATCTATTTCAAGACCTTGCCTTATGAGGCTAACAGCTTCCACTTCCTGTCCTTGGAACTCTTGTTGAGGGGAAGCCAGCCCAGGTTGAGAGTCTGGCTATAGGAGGCTCTTCTGCTGTGAGGAAGCCCCACGGAGAAATACCCAACCCTCTGCCAGCTCAAATCCTCTACGCCTGCCTGGTCACCACACTGGGAGAGAAGCTGCCTTCAGGTGATTCCAGACCCTACTAACAAGAGAATGAAACTGCAGGAGATAGGCCAAGAGTGAATGTCCCAGTCAACCTAGAGGACCACCCTCCTGTCTTTCGTCGTTATATTGGGGAGAGGGGAGTTGGCACACAGCAATAGGTAACTGGACAAGAGGTGGGCACTGAGGCCTAGAGTCACTGCAAAATGTAACTCTGTTGGACAGTTGCAAGAGGACCCATTAACCCAGCCTAGAAGCCATCAAATCTAACTTATACAAGGTATAGCCTGATCCTCATTTCTAGCCTATGGTTCCAAGTGACTACTGTCAGAAACAGGAAAAGCCACCTCTGTGCCTTTAACATCCTGGACTTTACAGCCACTGAGTGTGAAGGCAATCTGCATGTTCCTTTAAAAAGCAGCCTAGACTGCCAGGGGCAGCATAATTTCAGTGCCCAGAAGTCCGAGGCAGGAAGGTTGGGAGTTCCAGGCCAGCCTGGGTTCCATTGTAAGACCATGTCTTTCTGTCTTTTTTTTATTTTTATTTTTATGTTTGAGTGTTTTGTGTGCATATGTATCTGTGCACTGTGAGCATACCTGGTGCCTGTGGGTGTAGAAGAGAGTGTCAGATCCTTTGGAATTAGAATTGCAGATGGTTGTGAGCCACCATCTGAACTGAACTCGAGTCCTCTGTGATAGTAACATGGGCTCTTAACTACTGAGCCAACTCTCCAGCTTCAAAACCACCTCTTAAAAAAAAAAGTCATAATCATAATGATTAAAAAAGAAGGGGGAAGAGGGGCTAGATAGATGGCTCAGTATAGGGGTAAGAGTATTATTTTCTGCAAAGCATGAGGACCTAAGTTTGGATCACAGCATCCACACAAAGAGCTGGCTCAGAGGGTGAAAGAGCTTGTCACGTGATCTGATGACCTGAGTTCAACCCTTGAAACCTTGGGGGAAGTGGAGAACCAACTCCTACAAGTTGTTCTCTTACCTGCACATGTCACACTAACACACTCACACACATACACACACAACTCATACACACACACTCACTCACACACATACACACTCACACACACATAAACACACACACACACTAATAATAAATACATTCATTTTTAAAGAAAGCCAGTACCCTTCACTGTCTTCTACAAGTGCTAAGCGTATAGGAGTGAACAGTCACAGGTTTGGGGTCTGGCCTCATGATCTTTTTTACAGCTTTTCACTGGACATGGCTACTTGTTTCTAAGAGACTTGTGCAGAATAGAGACTGTGAGTATTAGGAGATACTGTGACTGATGACCTGAGACCTTCAGGTCTACGCTGAGACTTACCATTTTGAGACTTTTAAAAGCTAGAATCAATAAATATAAACTGAAGGGTGGGGCTGAGACTGCTTAATAAATGACAGTGCTTGTGACAAGCCCATGGCCTGGCCTGACCCACACGATGGAAAGAGAGAGCCGACTCCCACATGTAAGCACTGCATGTGACCACCCCCGATACATGATGTAAGTTTTAATAACAGAGACTTCTACTGCAGTGAGATAAAACAGCATGGATAAAACCTAATTTTTTTTAAGCCTAGAGTTTTTTCTAGCTTTAAACTCAGGAACCACACTAGTTGCACCAGCTTTGATTTTCATTATTCTATCTTTCTGGAGATATCTTTTAAAAGTGGACTGTATTTGACTTCAGAGTTGAACCGTTTAGTCTAGGATGCTATGTCAGAGCTACAGGCGTCCCATTCTGTGGCCTCAGCATTGTCAAACCTTTGTCTCGATGCCCCCTTCCTAGTGACTTACATCTCCTTGTTGAGGCCTCAAATAGTATAATCACTGGACCCCTCTCGTGTTTTCTTCTGCTTTGGTCGCTGGTGCTCTGGTGAGGGTGACACTACTTTATGTATAGAGTGACACTTTCTGCAGCTGTGGTGATATATGCATCCTTACTGTGCAGGTAATGCCTTGGGCTGGGGCTGTGAGTGCCCATTTTGTAGGATCCAGCTCCTTGTTGTTAGATCCATTCTGCCCTATCCACTGCCCGATATTCATGCCTTCCTCCGTCAGAAGGGAGAGCTGCTTCTTCACACAGATGACCGACTCCATGCAGAACTCAGGGTGTATTCATCCCTCTCTTTAAAGGGAACCATCTCCTAAACCTTTCCTAATTTCAGGTTGGCAATGTAAGTTTTCTTAACTGTTTTAATAATAAAAATTGATTTAAATTCATTTAAGTCTTCTTTTGGTTCCTTTTTCATTTTTTTTCAGAAGAGTCTGGAGTCTCAATGAATTCATTCATTTTCCCAGTAGATGAGCTTACTCCTCCCAAGGGGATACATGAGCATAGAAAGTAATCAGATGATTTGAGCAATGAAAACTTGCAACCTGGGGTGCATATCAGGTTGAAGAAGGCAAGTGATGCTCTGAGGTCCTTTAATGAGAGGATTTGACTTATGCAGGGACATCAGGAGTTCTGCCTGAAGAAGGACAATTTAGCTAAACTATGCAGAAAAACTTCTAGTTAACTAGAATTTTAAATGGGCAGGATAGAGCATTCCAGGCTCTATGGTTAACAGAGTGGGGCAGGGAACGGGGATGGGACATGACACCACACACACACACACACACACACCATCACACCATCACAAACAAGATGTCCTGAAGTTAAAATCAATAGAAAGGTGGCCATGAGGGTTTAATCAGGAGCCTGGTAAGGTCACATTTACTATGTAAAAGCTCACTCTGAGTCAGGCGTGGTAGCACACACCTTCCAGCACTTAGAGACAGAAGCAGGTAGATCTCTCGGTTTGAGGCCAGCCTGGTCTACACAGAAATTCCAGAGCAGCCATAGGGGGACATAGTGAGAGCCTATCTCAACACACACACACACACACACACACACACACACACACACACGCGCGGGGGGGGGGGGCGGGAGGTCATCCTATAGGTTCTGTTACTGTAGAGAACCCTGAACACACATGTAGGTAGGTAAAGAATAGCCTAGCTCTTCATTGGACTATGGATGTATCATGGATAAGGACAAATTCAATCATTGAGAGAGTTCAGAAGAGGTTAGTGGATTCCTGTATCCAGAAATCAAACAAACAAAGGCTCTCTCTTTTAAGTTTTCCTATATGGATTTGTTTTGGAGAGATCAACAAAATTGTGCTGAGCAAGCACTCTATCCCTAGTCTACATCCTGTGTGCATGTTTATGTATATGGTGTACATGTATGTGGCACATATACACACCCGGGTGCCCATAGAGCGCAGAGGACTGATGCTGAATGTCCTGCTTTATCACCCCCACCGTATTCCTTTCAGACATGCTATCTCAGGAAGCCTAGACTTAGGCTGGCTCCCTGCAAGCCCCAGCGGGCCTCCTCTCTACACCCACAACACTGTGTTTATAGACACATGCCTGGCATTTTTCAAGACAGGGTTTCTCTATGTACAGCCCTGGCTGTCCTGGAACTCACTCTGTGGACCAGGCTGGCCTCGAACTCACAGAGATCCAGCTGACTCCCAAGTGCTGGGATTAAGGGCATGAGACACCATGCCCGGTCATGCCTGGCTCTTTACACAGGTTTGGAGATTTGAGCTCATGTCTTCACATTTGCTCACACTTGCTCAGAAAGAGCCCAAAGGTGCTGAGCCATCTCCCTAACCCCCAGTCCTTAGGGTTTTTGTTTTTAAGACCTATTTATTTTTATTTTATGTGCCTTGGTGTTTTGCCTGAATGTTTGTGTGAGGGTGCCACATCCCTTGGAATTGGAGTTACAGACAGTTGTGAGCTGTGGGTGATGGGAATTCAACTCTGGTCCTCAGCAGCAGCAGCCAGTGCTCTTAACTGCTGAGCCATCTCTCCAGCCCCGAGTCCTTAGTTTTTTGAGACAAGGTTTTAGTTTGTGAAGCACAGGCTAGTTTTGAACTCAGGCTCCTCGTGACTTAGCCTCCTGAATGTTGGGACTACAGACATATGCCATCATGGCCTATGGTGTGACAAATAATTCTGAATACAAAATCTAATACTTGAGTTTAATAGTTCCTCAAGGAAATGAAAATAGAATTGTCTGAGTCATCAGTTCTCCTGGGCACACACCCTTCGGGTTGGAGGCTGGCACTCATGAAAGCAGTGCTAAGTAAAAACAAACAGGATCTGGGAGGAGTCAGGGGAAGGGACAAAACGAGATGATCAAATACACTGTATAAAGTTCTCAAAGAATAAATAAACATATTAAAGTAAAAGCAACCTGGCAGGGCAGTAGTGGTACATACCATTATTCCTAGCACTTGGGAGGCAGAGTCAGGCGGATCTTTCAAGACCAGCCTGATTTACAGAGTGAGTTCCAGGACAGCCAGGGCTACAAAACAAAAACCCTGAAGAAATGAAGGGATTTTCTTCTTGTTCTGATACAAGGTGTCACTATGTAGACCAGGCTAGCCTCCAACTCACAGGGTACTGCCTTCTCCACCTCTTCCTGCCCCAACCCCTCTCCCCACTCTTTCTTTTCTTTCCAGGATCTTGCTATCTTTCCTTGCTATCTGAGCCTCAATTTGGGGCTTGGCTCAGCTTGTATACTATGCATATTTCATATTAACATATTTCATTTACAAAATATTCTACTAGAAACTGCACCTTGGTCAGGAAATCAGGAAAAGAAGAGAATGAAGCATACTTGGAAAGACCAAACAGGGATTTACAGAGATGGGATAGACCAGTGGGCTTTGTTGGTGAGGAATTGCAGGCTGCACCTTGCCTGAGGCACTGATTTGGTCTTCACCTAGCAGTTCCTCGGGTCAGGTACTAGGGCAACATTCACAGAGTTCAGTTCCCTGGATGTGAACCAGGCTGGGAGGCAGGTGGGCAGATGCGCCCTGTGCCCTCCCACAGAGTCCAGGACTCCCTGCATGCTACCCGAGTTGTTTTTGCTTGCTCAAGTTCACTACTGTGTCACACTGCAAGAGCAAAGAGGCTCTGTAATCAAATATAATGGAGTCACATCTTGGTGAGGGCAAAGCCAAAATAACACAGCCAAGGCATGAGAGATGGGAGGGTTCATTGCTTGCAGCAGGTGAGGAGACCACAGGGTTATTTCCAAAGTGAGAACCCACGTGGGACGAAGAAAGCACGAGGTCTCTACACACTCACACAGGGGCTGGGTCTATTTCTGTTCCTGAGCAGGCCAAGTAAGGGAGGAACTTGAGGATGCTCAACTTAAGGACATAATTTTAAGAACAAAAGACAGAGAAGGATTTTGGGTGTGCTTACTTCAATGCCATGGAGAACCCATGTAAAAGATCAAAGTGATGGATTTATGTCTCTGCCATGCTCACTTTGTAGCATAAAGTTGTTTGTTTGATCCATTTTTGCATGTATGAGTGTTTTGCCTCTGTGTGTGTGTGTGTGTGTGTGTGTGTGTGTGTGTGTGTGTGTGTGTCACATGCACGTGGTGCCAGTAGATGTCAGAAAAAGGGATCAATGCCCTGGAACTGGAGTTAAAGATGGTTGTGAATTGCCATCTGGATGCTGGGAACTGAACCTGGGTTCTCTGAAGAGCAGCCAGTTCTTTTAACTACTGAGTCATCTCTTGAGCCCCTTGGTGATTTGCTCTTTTGTTGTTGTTTGTTGTTGTTGCTGTTGTTGTTGTTTTCCAGATAGGGTTTCTCTGTGTAACAGTCCTGGCTGTCCTGGAACGCTCTTTGTAGACCAGGGAGGCCTTGAATTCACAGAGATCCATCTGCCTCTGCCTCTGCCTCTCAAATGCTGGCATTAATAGCCTGTGCCACCAACGACAGGCTGATTTGCTTGTTTTTAAACATGTTTTATTTTACTTTGTGTGTGTGCGTGTGCGTGTGCGTGTGCGTGTGCGTGTGCGTGTGCGTGTGCGTGTGCGTGTGCGTGTGCGGATGCCCTTCTGTATGCTGTGAATATATTTTTCTCTTATTGGTTGATGAATAAAGCTGTTTTGGCCAATGGACAGGCAGGATGTAGCCAGGCAGGAAGTAGAGTTTGGGCTACCACACTAGGAGAATTCTGGGAAGAGGGAAGGAGAGATTGAGTCGACAGTGAAAGGCCATATACCTACCAGGAAGGTAGGATGCCGGGCATTCGGTAAACCAAAACCCCATGGAGATACATAGATTAATAGAAATGTATCTATTAATAGAAATGTATCTCTCTTAATTAACAATTAAGAGAGAGCTAGCCAGTAAGAAGCCTGAGAAATAGGCCAAACAGTTTATAATTAATTAATATAAGCCTCCGTGTGTTTGTTTGGGACTAAAGGGCTGTGGAACTGGGCAGGACAGAAACTTCCGTCTACGTGTACCATGGGGTACACATGTGGAGGTTGGAGGGCAACACACTGAGTCAGCGCTCTCCTTCTGCCATGTTGGTTCTGGGAGCAGAACTCTTTTGCCGGGCTTGGTGACAAGTGCCTTTACCCGATGATTCTCTCTGGCCCTGCCAGAAGGTCTTAGCTGAAATTAAGAAAAGGCTACTTTGAAGGTGCATTACGACCAGAGGCTGCCCCGGAAGGTGCCTGCCTTGCATGCGGGCTTGGCAGGTAGGAAAACTGCCACACCAGTCAGTGCAGTGGGTTAGTACTGTGTTTTGCCAGGTGATGACTTCAGAATGGGGCACAGAGGCCCCATCAAGGAAGGCTGGATAGATTGTCCTGGAAATGAAAGTGGCCCCTCGGGGAATGCAGGGAAGGCTGAAGTGGCCCTCTCACAGAAACAGATCCGCAAGTGGAAATGAAGCAAAAGCGGTGAAATTAGAGCAAGCAGAACATTTTAGAAGAAGGGGATGTTCTTTTTGGGAATTTGACTTAAATTAACTTTGATCTGCAAAAACCTACATTTACAACCTGGCTGGGTCAGTGGGTTTTGTTTTACAATTGGGGTTCCTAAAACATATTCCTTTCAATAGCATTTGAATAAAATTATGAACACTGACTCTTCTTTTTCCTTTCTTTGGGACAAGGTCTTGCCATGTAACCCAGGTTGGACTGGAACTTGCTATGTAGCCCAGGCTGGTCTTGAACTCATAATAGTCCTTCAAATATTGGGGGGGGGGTGCTATCCAGAGCTCTGCTCTGAACTACAGAAACCTGTCTAGAATTCATCTTAGTTTTCTTATTTGCAAAAGGAGAGAACTGGACTGAACAGGACCTCTTGGGTACTCAATCTCAAAATGTTCTCTCCATTGTATAAAGTGAACTC